TTCCACACCCCCAGCCAACCAGCAGCGCCCATTCCCTGGTCCACCAAACTCTCCTTGAAAAACCCCAGCGTCCGAATTTTCTGAGAGGCTGATTTGAGTAATAATAAAACTCTGGTCTCCCGTTCAGCTGGCTCTGCATGAATTAAACTTTTTCTCTATTGCATTTCCCCTGTCTTGATAAATCAGTTCTATCTTGATTACACACTAGTATATTTTCTTCCTTCTCTTCCTTCCTTTTTGACCCCTCCCAGTGTCAGAATGGATGCATCTTGGGATCAGGCCCCAGTTTCATGCCAATCCCCACTGCCCACCAGCACCGTCCAAGTCCTGGGAGACCACGTGATTCCGTGTCCCTGAGGTGAGGGTGATAGAGGAGCTAAAAATAAATTATTTAGGCAGATAGTGAGGGTAAGGAAGTCCTCAGTAAGGTGTTCCTTTTAATGAAAAGCAGCCCCCAAATCATTTTCTTTTCAAATAAAGAGCAGTCTATAAAATCGAGCTGCAAACATAAGACAAGCAAGCTGGAAGCTTGCACGGGTGAATGCCAGCAGCTGTGCCAATAGGAAAAAGCTACCTGAGACTAGGCATGATCAAAATGGCAGCTCCATCTTCCCTTCTCTTTGCCAGCCATGTGTACAGTAGGGAGCAGGCAAGATGGTGCTGGCCAAGTACAAAGCCCATTTGCATAATAAGATTATAGTGGGGTGACCGGCCTTCCCCACGCCATATGAAAATATCACCCTTGGTCATACCAACCTGTAGGCCCTTCATAAATCAGATACTGCCTCCTCAAGTCGGCCTATAAAAATCTGCAGGGGTCTGCTGCAGGCCGGCTTTTCTCTTTTGGACGCCTCTCTTTCAGAAGAGAGGGCTGCTCTCCTCTCCTTTTTTCTGTCTATTAAACTTTCTGCTCCCTAAGCCATCCACAAGTCCATGTCCTTAATCTTCTTGGCATGAGACGATGAACCCCAGGTATTTACCCCAGACAATGATGCTGCTTCAGCAGCACAGTCACACCAGGGATGGAGCCAGCCTTCCCAGGGAGGGAGGACTTCGCTGTCCCAGGAGACCCTGCCATGGGAGCCCCAGTCCAGTGACCTTGGGTTCTAGTCCCGCCATGTGCCTGGTATGCTCCGTGACTCAGCCTCCTCCTCTGTGAAACACATCTGACTCTAGCATGGCCAAATTCCTGCCCCATAGAATCATGTGCAATAAAAACGGTTGGTTTCAAGCTACTAAGTTTTGGGTGGTTTGTGATGCAGCAGTTGATAGCTGTATGGGGGTAAGGGCAGACATGGAGACTGGGGAGGAGGCAAGACCACAGAGGTGTGGATGGGGGAGGGAAGTTGGAGGGAGTGAGAAGAGGCCAAACACTGACTGGATTTTGAGGGTAGAGGATCTGGATATGAGGGATGGAGACTGTCGAGGCTGAGCCTGAGTGAACAGCAAGGTGAGCTGCCATTCATGAAGGTGGGGGCAATGCAGACGGAGCAAAGCTGGGCTGGAGGATCAAAACTAAGCAGAGACACTGGGTAGCACACAGGAGTCTGGATTTCTGGGGAGAGGCCCTGGTAGGAGACATGGATTTGGTCATTGCCAGTGTTGGATGGTATTTAACAGCATGACACCAGAGGAGATCACCCAGGGAGTGGGGACTGGTTGAACAAAAAGAGCCAAAGAATGGCCTGGTCAGTAAGGAACCAACAATGGAGGGTGAGGAAGAGAAGACCCAGAGGGCGGGAGGGGCCTGGGAGCCCAGGGAACAACTGAGCTAAGGATGAGTGAGCTGGCACATGGGCTCGTGCCTGGAATTCCAGCACTTTGGGATCGTTTGAGTCCACAAGCTCAAGACCAGCCGAGGCAGCACAGCTAGACCCCGTTTCTACAAAAAATTAAAGACAGGTGAGATGGTGCATGCTTGTAGTCCCAGCTACTCTGGGGCTGAGGCAGGAGGATCCCTTGAGCCCAGGAGGTTGGAGCTGCGGTGAGGAGAATGTACCACTGCACTCCAGCCTGGGCAACAGAGAGACCCTGCCTCAAAAAAGGAAAAAGGAGGAGTGAGCTACCCAAATCTGTGTTTGTTTCTTACTGCTATCCTAACAAATTACCATAAACATGGTGATCCAAAACAATACAAATTTATATCTTACAGCTCTGGGGGTCAGAAGTCTAATGGGACAATGAGTGTCATGGGCTAAGATCAAGGGGTCAGCAGGCTGCATTCCTTCTGTTGGCTCCAGGAAAGGCCTTGATTCCTTGTCTCTCCCAGCCTCTAGAAGCTGCTCATAGTCCTTGGCTTGTGGCCCCTTCCTCCATCTTCAAAGGACATCACTCCAACCCCTGTGTCGGGTGTCACATTTCCTTTTCTCTCTGCTTTCATCCCATTGTCCTCTCACTTGGCTTCCTAACTCCCATAAGAACCCCTGTGATGGCGCCTGCCCTCCTATCTGTACTTGTGGGCTCTCCATCCAGATTGAAACAACCAAGGATACAAATGATTCAGAAAAAAAAAACCTTTGTCTGTACTGAACATGTACAAACTTTTCTCTTGTCACTATTCACTGAACAATACTGTATAACAACTATCTACATAGCGCTTACATTGTATTAGGTATTATAAGTAATCCAGAGGTGACTTAAAGTATACAGGAAGATGTGTGTAGGTTATATGCAAATACTAAGCCATTTTATGTAAGAGATTTGAGCATCAAGGATTTTGGCATCCTTGAGAGGTGCTGGAGCCAGTCCTCTATGGATACCCAGGGATGACTGCACACTGGGCTCACCCTGATAAACATAAGAATCTCCCCATTTAAAGAATCTTAACTTCACTGCATTTGCAACGTCCCTTTTGCCATGTAAGTATGTATTCACAGGAGCTGGAGGTTAGGATGTGGACATCCTTGGAGGGCCATTATTCTGCCCACCACAGTCCACCCTCCAGTTTCCAAAGATTCACATAGGTCTCATGGGCAAAACGCATGCACCCATCTCAAGGTCCTCCGCAGCCTTGACTCATCACAGCTTCAACTCAGGTCCACATTCATTTAAGTCGCACCCAGTTCAAAAGTTTCAAATTCCATCATCTGAATCATCTAAATTGGGTATGGATTGGGCCCCAGCTAAGTAAGGGGGTCAAGCAGGCGGGCTGAGCACTGGTCCTGGTGAAGGCAGCACTGACCTCCCCGCATCAGAAACTGCACCGGGAAGGCTGTCCTGGGCTGGGCGGCACGAAACCCTGGGCGCCTGTGGCTGCCCCAAAACTGCAGGAGCCCCAACGCCTTCAGCGCAGGGGTCACTCGTCATGAAAGGAGCGTGACATCCTGCGCCCATTGTACAGATGGAGAGAGCAGCTCGGAGCCCGGGTCCAGCCCTCGCGGCCCACCCCGGCCCCGTTTCCCCTCTCCCCTCCCTGTCCGTGCGTCTCCCCTCCCACGCCTCCCCCCACCCTGGGACTCCCACTCCTCCCCTCCCCTCCAGGCCTCTTGCCCTCCCAGGCCCTGCGTTGCCACCCGGCTCTGGGAAAGCCGGAGTCTGGCTCCCAGACACCACTGAGCGCCGAGTCCTCCAGCCTGTCTAGAGCGTACCGGAAGTAGCTGGGGGAAGGCGACGAGGCGCGGACTGGAGGAGAACTGAGTGGCCGGCACTTCCGGCCGGCGGTGGCTGCTCCGGCTGAGCAGGGTGAGTAGGGTCCTCGCCTGAGGCGTTGGGCGGCCAGGCCGGGCCGGGTGGGCTCGGGCAGACTCCGGTCACTGCTGGGCGCGGGCGGCGCGGGCGGCGCGGGCGGGAGCCGCAGTCTGTACAGGCGGGCGCGCGGGGCGGGGCTGGTCGCGAGGCCTCGGGGCGGACCCAGCCGCGGGCGGCAGCGCCCCCTCCCGGGAGCCGCGCTCGGAACTCGAAGCCCTGTGCTTCCCGCGCGACCCCCGCGGCCTGAGCGCGCGGCCCCCGAGCCGAACCCACCCCTCGCTGCCAGGCCTGGCCTTGACGCCCCAGCCCGGACCCTTCCTGCGGTTCCACTTTCAGAGAGGCTTGGTCACGAGATCCACTTGCCCTTAAAAAACCAGACCGAGACTTTTTTATTTCTTTTTTTCTCCATTTTCGTTTTTACTCTTGCCCCAGGCTGAATTTCTACCCGCAAACGGGGACCCTGGGGTAGAGGTGCTTTTTGAGCGAGCCTCGCCGGTAGCTCAGTGCTGTCTCCTGCGCCAGGATCCCCCAGCGTGGAGCGCTCCTAGCGGAACTCGGCGCCGGCTCCCGGGCGCGCTCTGCGGGGCGCACGGCCCCAGGCTTTCTGTCCCATCTTTCTCTGTCCCATACTCCCCTTCTGACCCCCAGTTCACCTCTTCCCCCGGCCCCAGAATGCGACTGTTTTTTGAGTATTTCTCCTTCATATCCTCCATACCCCCATCCCCAACACGCGCGCGCGCACACACGATGCCCGTGCGAAGGTTGTTTTCCGCTTCCCCCCGCCCCCCCCGCGTTTCTCAGGTCTTCTTCCCCTCACACAGGACGGAGTCGGCCCCAGCGCTGACCCCTTAGGCCTCCCGTTTCTTGTCTGTGCCTTGGGCACAGGAGAATTCCATGTTTCATCCCGTGTTCACGTGACCTCCGGGTTCTGTGCTTCCTCTCCAGTCGCAAGGCAAGAAACCACCCTCATTTCGGGGAGACACGGAATCCCACAGTAGCTTGTGACGGACTGACTCGGGACTGGGATGCCGGGAAAAGCTTCCTGGAGGAGACTCAGCACCAGACACGGGCCCCTTGTGGACACGTCTCCATACGTGACCTGCAGGTGTGGCAGGATAACACAAAGTGCTGGAACACACTGCTGTCCCACTTGCAAGACCAAAAACTTCCTTTAAAAATAAAATTCAGAGATTCCTTATGAAACAAATTCAGCCACTTTGTGTCATCCTGCCGCACCTGCACTTCAGGCACGGAGACGTGTCCACAAGGAGCCCGTGTCTGGTGCTGAGTCTCCTCCAGGAAGCTTTTCTCGGCATCCCAGTCCCCAGTTAGTCCCTCACAAGCTACTGTGGGATTCGGTGTCTCGCCCAGTTTTTCTGCAGCGGGTTCATATTAAAAATCTCGAGGGTGGACTGTGGCCTTGCCTTCCCTCCTGTTCCCCACGGTGAGATGCACATAGCTCGCTGCGCTGTGCCAGACCACACACACGTCACACCGTCACCCTCAGCGAACAATGCATGATCCTTAAGGGACCAGCCCACATTTTGCAGACCAGGAAACTGACTCCGGAAGAGGACAGGACTCATCCAGAGGTGGCGGCCAACAAGCCTAGAATTTGTCTTTGGAGCTTTTGCTGCATTTGATTGCACTCCTCATTTCTCTTGAGCTCTGGCCTCAAAGGGCTGCGTTTCTGCACTCCACCACACGCTCTGCATGGAGTTGGCAGAAGCAGCTATGGCAAGGGCGCGGGAGGGAGGTGGGAACTCCAGGAGTCCATCCTCAAGTACTGCCGGCCTGCGGAGGAGTGAGGGGAGGGAGACCCCAGGCCTGCCCATAGCACACACGCCACACTGAGCCGGCCAGCTCAGCTGCCCGGTGTTGGGGCAAATAGCTTCTCAGCCCTCACCAGTGTCTTACTGGGTGAAGTGCATTGCAAGCCCTGACTCCATAGGCTGCCCTGGCCTCACAGGGGTGTGCCCTCTGTGCCCTGCCAGTGGGCTCGGGTGTAGGGAGGGGTGTGGGGTGTTTTGCAGAGTTGTTAGGAGAGGATGGAATTGTCCACCTAGAAGGGATGAGAATGACCCACATCGTCTTTATGTAGAAGGGTGAGAAGATACTTCAAAACTCCAACAGAAAGATGTGTTTGTTTAGAGCTGCGACGTTTCTGTGTCGTTTTTCTTCATATTGGTCAAAGGTGCGTATGAAACTTAAAAGCAAAGCTTTTCATAGGGTACACAACTGGCCCAGGAAGAGCCCTTGCTCCCAGCGGGCCGTCAGGTGTCCTGGCATTTGCTTCTGGTGTGAATCAGTCATTTGTTCATAGAGCCTCCCAAATTAGCAAATGCTGAAGAAGTTCCTGCTCTGGACTAGCTAGTTCCTGTGTCCTCTGAGCATGTATGTGTGAGGGTGGGTGGCTGTGTGCGTGTGTCCGTGTCTGGCAGGCTCTGCGGCCCTGCCGTGGTTGTGGAGTCAGGTGGACGGGCAGCACTAGAGCCTGGGGTTTCAACGACTGGCGGCCCAGTGTGGCTGCCTGGGACAGGGTACTCTGAGCTGAGCTTGAGGAGAGCCCCCTGAAGGAGGCCTGGAGTGGTCACAGCTGTCTGTCTGCTGAGGCTCCCGGTAGACACATCTGAGTGTGTGTGGTCAGGGAGGTCAGAGGGTGATTGAGTAACTGGCAGCACCTCCTAACCCTTGGAGGATCTTTTTTTTTTTTTCCCCTTGGAGGATCTTGAGGCCTGCTGTTATAGAGAAACTTGCAATGCCCTGTTTTCTAGAGGCAGTTTGGGGCTCTGTGTTAGAGGGAGTTTAGAGACCTGCTCCAGATGGGGTTTGTAAGATCTTCAGCGGGGAGGGTAATAAGGAATTCCTCCTCCCTGCATCCCTCCACCCCTGCCTCCATTCCTCAGGGAGGAGTAAGGGATTTGAGAAGATGGCCAGCTCAGGCAGCCCAGCGAGCAGTTACAGCAAGAGGCTTAGTCCGGGTCCGGGCGGGTGGGAGGTTTGTTCTCAGGTCTGCCCAGCGTCGGACGTCCTGGCTTCCTCTGATGGCTTCTGCCTGAGCGGTTCCCCAGGAAAGGCCGGGCTACTCCTATGAGAGCCACGTCTCGTTTCTAGCCCTAGCGAATGGCTTCCGTTTGCTTGGTGGGAGTGGGGCAGAGTCCACCTGAGCAGCACACCCAGGAGCTGGGCAGGGCTGGGCCGCTCCCGGGGCCGCCCTCTCCCCACACTGCGTGCTAGCGCTTGCGTGGCTCCTCTCAGTAGCACTCGCGTTTCAGCTGGAGCGTCCCAGTGAGGATAGAGTCGTGAGGATGCCAGCTGTGTCCCGGGCGTGCCCCATCACTTTCCTGTCTCTTCCCTCTGCTTTCCAGCCCCTGAAGTGCTGTGCCTGGAGATACCATTGTGGACCCTGGAGAGGCACCCTGCAGCTTATGCGGTAAAACCTCGACCACCCCAAACCTGGTCAGTTTGAGGGGAGCTGCTGCCACAGTATCCACTGAGGCCGGGGTTCCAGTCGTGTGGAGCAGCAGAGGGGAGTCTGACAGGGCCACCTCCTCCACAGAGAGAACTGGCAGCCGACTGCACGGCCGGAGCGAAGGCCTGGGGGTGTGGAGCCTGGAAGACCAGGGACACCTGAGGCAGGAGGTGCAGCGTGTGGAGTGGGGAACCCGAGACGGACTAGGGCCTGTGCTCAGGATCAGGCAGGCAGAGTGGAGAGGGAGAGACGGAGCCCTGGAAGGGGAGCAGGAGGAGGGGGAGTAGTGGCAGCAGCCCAGGCCAAGCGTGTGTCCTGCAAGTGCTAGGACCAGCTACCCCTCCCCATGGCCTCCAAGCCGGCTGCCGGGAAGAGCGGAGGGGAGAAGCGGAAGAGGGTGGTGCTGACGCTGAAGGAGAAGATTGACATCTGCACGCGCCTGGAGAAGGGCGAGAGCCGGAAGGCGCTGATGCAGGAGTACAACGTGGGCATGTCCACCCTCTACGACATCAGGGCCCACAAGGCACAGCTGCTTCGGTTCTTTGCCAGCTCGGACTCCAACAAGGCACTGGAGCAGCGGCGCACGCTGCACACGCCCAAGCTGGAGCACCTGGACCGCGTCCTGTACGAGTGGTTCCTGGGGAAGCGCTCCGAGGGCGTCCCCGTGTCAGGCCCCATGCTCATCGAGAAGGCCAAGGACTTCTACGAGCAGATGCAGCTCACTGAGCCCTGTGTGTTCTCTGGAGGGTGGCTTTGGCGCTTTAAGGCCAGACACGGCATTAAAAAGCTAGATGCATCCAGTGAAAAGCAGGCAGCCGACCACCAGGCCGCGGAGCAGTTCTGTGGGTTTTTCAGGAGCTTGGCTGCCGAGCACGGGCTGTCCCCCGAGCAGGTTTACAACGCTGATGAGACCGGCCTTTTCTGGCGGTGCCTGCCAAATCCCACTCCAGAAGGCGGGGCCGTGCCTGGCCTCAAGCAGAGCAAGGACCGGCTGACCGTGCTGATGTGTGCCAACGCCACGGGCTCCCACAGGCTCAAGCCCTTGGCCATCGGGAAATGCAGCGGCCCCAGGGCTTTCAAAGGCATCCAGCACCTGCCTGTAGCCTATAAGGCCCAGGGGAGCGCCTGGGTGGACAAGGAGATTTTTTCCGATTGGTTCCATCATATCTTTGTGCCCTCGGTGAGAGAGCACTTCAGAACCATAGGTTTGCCAGAAGACAGCAAGGCCGTTCTCTTGCTGGACAGCTCCCGGGCTCACCCGCAGGAGGCCGAGCTGGTGTCCAGCAATGTTTTCACCATCTTCCTGCCTGCCAGCGTGGCCTCACTGGTGCAGCCCATGGAGCAGGGCATTCGGAGAGACTTCATGAGGAACTTCATTAACCCTCCGGCCCCCCTGCAGGGCCCCCACGCCCGCCACAATATGAATGATGCCATATTCAGCATGGCCTGTGCCTGGAACGCAATTCCCACTCACGTCTTCAGGCGGGCCTGGAGGAAGCTGTGGCCATCAGTTGTGTTTGCTGAAGGCTCCTCCTCTGAGGAGGAGGTGGAGGCAGAGCACTTCCAAGCGAAGCCCCACAACAAATCCTTTGCGCACATCCTGGAGCTTGTGAAGGAAGGCTCCTCCTGCCCAGGCCAGCTTCGCCAGCGCCAGGCCGCTGGCTGGGGTGTAGCAGGAAGGGAGGCAGAAGGGGGACAACCCCCTGCTGCCACGTTGCCAGCAGAGGTTGTGTGGGGTTCAGAAAAGACTCTGAAAGCTGACCAAGACGGTGGAGGAGATCCTGGTGAGGGTGAAGAGGCGGCCTGGGAGCAGGCAGCCGTGGCCTTCGACGCAGTCCTGCGCTTTGCGGAGCGGCAGCCATGCTTCAGTGCACAGGAAGTGGGGCAGCTGCGAGCGCTGCGTGCCGTGTTCCGGAGCCAGCAGCAGGTGAGGAGGCGGCGTGGCGCCCTCGGGGCTGTGGTCAAGGTTGAAGCCCTCCAGGAGGGCCCTGGTGGCTGCGGGGCCACGGCTCACTCTCCCTTGCCCTGCTCATCCACAGCAGGTGACAACTGATGGCTTCTCTGCCCTGCCCTGGCCACTGGTCCTGTTTCTCCACGCACCCTGGAGTGGCATGGTCCTGTGCCCCGACCCCACCTGAGGCAGGAGGGCATGTGCAGACACTTAAGAGCCCTTCCAGGAGCGGGTCACCCACGGGTGTGGCTCGGGTGCTCAGGACAGTCTGTGCCTGAGGTTCCTGTCGATACAGGTTTTATCACTTGCCATGTCATCCGAAAGTAAGGAAATGTTTTGGAAGGGTCCACCCTAGCCTAGAACAAGCCAGAGCCTGACTCTGGCTGGAATGGGGGCCAGGCTTGGCTGATCTGGCCTCATGTTCGCTGGCTGATCATTGCAGTATCAGAGGGTGGAGATGTCTGTCTGTCCATGTGGAGAGAAGTTGCCCTCCAGGCCGACAGGAGGCCATGCCCACCGCCCCTGGACAAACTTCGTCTCAGAAGGCTCTATCTGCTGGGCTGGCGGCCATCCCCTTGTTGGGTGGACCCCAGGCACGGTGCCTGAGGGCCGATGGCCGAGAGCTGGGACTCAGTTCTTGGCCTGCTCTCGGCTGAAGAGGCCGCACGTCTCACTTCAGTCGTGGCCTTGTTCAGCAGAATGACTGGAACCATCCTCTGTTACCCGCAGATGCCATCCCATGGGCTCTGGCCCCAGGATGTGGGGGCCCCACGGAGAGTTGACTTGGTAGAGTTTCTTTCCGTGAAGAAAGTAGGAGTGGCTGACCAGGCCCTGCTCATCACCCGGATACAGGACACAGACCTTGCGTGGTATTTTGGCATTTTGGCTCAGAGTGCAATGTGCCATGTTGCCCAGAATTTCATACTTACGGCCTTTACATGAATACGTCTTGATCAGGCATTCAGAGATTAGTCTTAGGTTTGCACGTAAGTCACTGGAAACAGTAAAACAGGTTGCTTAGATTTCCAACAATATTTGTGCTCTTTTCCCCAGCTGTTGGCACGTTAGTAATACCTTTGGGGAGGAGTTGTCTGTCCTGGTCAGTGTTCACGGATGCGGTTGTAAGAGGATGTGGTGATTTTCTCCATGTCTGTAGCTGCTTTGCAGCATCTCCATTTCACGGGCAGCACTCGCTTCCTGCAGCTGAGATTCTAGAATGCCCTATGTCCACAGTGATTAGCCTCGTCTTTGAGTGAGCATGAAATAGGTGCATTGTTCTTTTTTTTCATTCTTGAGGCAGGGTCTCACTCTGTTGACCAGGCTGGAGTGAAGTGGTGTGATCACAGCTCACTGCAGCCTCGACCTCCCTGGCTTGAGTGATCCTCCCACCCCAGCCTCCTGAGTACCTGGGACTAGAGGCGTGCACCGTGACGCCTACCCTTTTATTTTTTTGTAGAGACAGGGTCTCACTATGTTGCCAAGGCTAGTCTTGAACTCTTGGCCTCAAGCGATCCTCCCTCCTCAGCCTCCCACAGTGCTGGGATTACAGGCGTGAGCCCCAGCACTCGGCCTAAATGGGTTTTTTTTTGCTATGTTATTTTCAGTGCTTTGCTCTTGAATTCTTTTCCCCTCTTAAATTTGTATCATTTGGCTGAGTCAGCACGTAGTTTGCATTCCAGCGTCTGCTGTTGATTCCACTGAAACCTTTGTTCTCATGAGGGAGAGGATTTGGCTCGCTGTGGTTTCTTGTATTTTCACATCTCTGCCGATACAGGGGCAAAAGTCATTGCTGACAGAGCCCTCCCTATGTCCTGAAAGTGTGTGTTTCTTGCTTTGAATGCATGTGTGACGGTTATAAAAGCCAAATAGTTTCTAAAGATCTCGGTGCTGAACGACAGTCCCAGTTGTTCCCATTTGGGTTCCGTTGCCTTCGTGGTGTCACCCCCACTGTTTGCTTCCTGTGTCTGGGGAACTTCTGCACATCCGTGTACTTCGTGCCATTTCTGGGCTCACGTGTCACTCCTAGCAGAGCCTCATAACCAAGATTGCTGGATTGCAGCTGCTTGAGGCAACGCAGGAGGTTAGAACATGTCTTGAGGGCTCTGAAGCAGCAGGACATCCTGGGTGGGTGGAGCTGAGGAGGGCACAGGGCAGGCCGAGCTCCTGGCTGGCTCTCCTGAATCCTCTGGAGATGGCTTGTCCCTGTCAGACTGTAGCTCTTCAGGACCTGAGCTCTTCCCGCTCTTGACCTGCTTCTGTGCTGACTGTGCTGGGCTCATGGGTAGATGTTTGTCCCCAGTGAGTGGCTGTGTCCTCAGGGTGCCCCTCTTCGAGACTAACTGCAACAAGGCTTGGAACCTGACTCTAGGCACAGCCCCTGTGGCTGGAATCCCTTGTGCCACCCAGGGGACTTGGGCCCTGCTCCTCCTGCAGCCCCTCCTCACCTGGGCTCGCTGCTGCAGGTCTCCCTGGAGTGAGGTTTTTAGGGAGCCCAGAGCTTACTCATCTCTGCGCTGCTGGGCCCGGCTGCCTGCTGCATACTTCCTGTCTCCATCCTGTCCCCCAGAATGCTTCGTGGAGACTGCTGTTTCCTCCGAACACTTTGTTCTCACTTCCTGACCAGTCTCAGAAGCTCAAGTGGTCGAATGTTTTAGCCTCAGAATCTTGTTCCCCAAGCCCTCTCAGGTGGAGCCCCACTGCACCAGACACCACAGCACAGCCCTGTGAGGCTGTGTCTCCTCACTCCGTTTCTGGGGCTGCTGAGGCCCCTGGGAAGCCCTGGAGCTTGCCAGAGCAGAGCGCGCAAGTCTCTGGTCCCGTTTAAATGCCTCTCCCTTTTATCTGTGAACCCGGGGCTGGAGCCACTCTTTGTCTTCTCACCGTGCCCCTACAGGTCATGGCCTCAGTTCTTCAGTGGCTACTGGGGCAGCGGGTGCTGCGACGTCTGGTTTGGGACCTCTGTGGCTGCTTCCAGCCTGCTAGTGGAATGAACCTCTTTGTATCACCACATTCTTCTCTGGTGGTGCCCCTGAGGGCTCAGGCCTGAGGGTGCTCCTTTGTCTTCAGTTGGGACAGGCAGCCTCCACTCTGGGAGCTCCCATCCCTCAGGGTGCCCAGGAGAGGCCATACTTTCAGGGTGGCATGGTGAATTCAGGGCTTGGGATGGGTAGGTGGTCTTTCAGCCCCTTCTACCTTAGATTGGTTTACAGAACACCTGTCCTGCCTGTGCCAGCCTGGATCTCTGGGCACCCCCGGCACGCTGTCCTGAAGGTTGTCTGTCTCCTGCATAGGAGGATCTAGAGCGGGCCTTGCCCTGGGCCCGTCTGCGTGGCTTCATACGCTTCATTTGTGCTCAGCCATGGTTGAGCATGCGATGGAGACCACTTGGGCTGCCCCTGATGCCGCAGGCCACTGTTCTTATCCAGCGGGCCGAATGAGTGATTGCTAGTGGTAGGTTGACTGGAAGAATGGAAGTCACAGCCCCTGCTCATGGCTTCCTCAGCTCCCTGGGGTTGGAGGACTGTCATCAGTTGTCCCCAGTTAAAGTCCATTTGGAGGATGTCATCAGTTGTCCCCAGTTAAAGTCCATTTGGAGGAGGTTCAGGGTCCCAGTGGCTGGATGTGCTTCCGGAGGGACAGGGTTTTGGAGGACTGTCATCAGTTGTCCCCAGTTAAAGTCCATTTGGAGGAGGTTCAGGTCCCAGTGGTTGATGTCGGAGGACAGGGTTTTTGGAGGACTGTCAGTTGTCCCCAGTTAAAGTCCATTTGGAGGAGGTTCAGGGTCCCGGTGGCTGGATGTGCTTCCGGAGGGACAGGGTTTGAGGCAGGGATTTGCAGAAGGTGTGGACTGCATCCTTTCTTGGGAGGCTGTGGCACAAGGCAGCGAAACTTGGGACAAATCAAGACCCATCCACACTGCACCTCAGGGACCTCACCTCGCCCCACATACATGTACTTATAGGGGACCGGGGGTGGTGGCTTCTGCCTGAAATCCCAGCGCTCTGGAACGCCAAGGCAGGAGGATCACGTTAGTTCAGGAGTCTGAAACCAGCCTGGGCAACATAGGGAGACCCCATCTTTACAGAAAATAAAAGAAAATGAGCCAGGTGTGGTGGTGTTTGCCTGTAACCCCAGCTACTCAGGAGGCCGAGGCAGGAGGATCCCCAAGCCCAGGAGTTCGAGGCTGCAGTGAGTTATGGCCTCTGCACTCCAGCCTGGGTGACAGAGTGAGAGGCCTTATCTATAATAAAAATAGTAATAAAATGTGCTTTGGGGTCAGGTGTGGAGATCAGGGTCGGGGAGGTCATGAGGTAGGGGTCAGGATGTGGACAGTCACAGGCTGGTGGGTGTGGCAGCCGTGAGGGGTGGGTGGTGGGCTGGGAGACAGGGCCTGGGCAGGGCTTCTGCACTTCCGCTGCCCCCTGTGGGTTCGAGGACTCTTCTTGACAAGGGCTGAGCTCTCAGGCACTGCGTTGGGCTCAGCTGCCTGCTGGGAGGCTGGGGAGAATGGACCCGTGAGGCCTTGTTTGTCTTCTTCCCTGTCCAGCTCCTGTAGACCCCAGGCCTGGCTGTCTGCAGGGCCAGGAGCTGCAGCCACCAGCCTCCCAGGTGAGCCCCAGCTCCCGGCCCTGCACGCCTGCTCCTTTGCCCGTGTGGACTCGGCTCTGGTGTCTGCTTCCACACATGGACCCTCAGACCCTACACATCTGTTGTTTCCCTTGCAGGGCAGTGATGATAACATTAAATGAGGTGGGGTCACTCGTGTTTAGATATGAGACTGGGGCCCAGGGAGGGGCAGGTGTGAAGTTGCTGAGGGCAGAGGGAGACCCACGGCTACCTGCTCCTGGTGACCAGCATCATGTTCACTGCTCACTCCCTGCCATTCACCAGCTGCATGACCTTGAGCAGTGCCCTCAACTGTAAACAGAGGTGAAAACACTCCTTTACCAGCCTTTTTAGGGGCCACTCTTGTGTGAGGCCTTGAACCTCATTTCAGTTCCGTGGTGGTCCTGAGCCTCTGAATCTGGGCATGGCCCCTGCTGGGTCCTGGTCTCAAAGGCAGCGTGATGGCCTCCCTGCTCAGGCCCTCCTGGGAGGCCCACTGGCCATGGCTGGGCCCTCTCTCAGGGAACCTGTCAGCGTGGCCATCTCCACACCCCGGCTGGCTGGGAGGCGAGATACGAGGTGCTCAAAGGCCGTCTATGTCTGTGGGCAGTCCCGTCCCACACAGGCCAGGATTATTGGGCCTCCTTATCAGCCAAAGGAACTGAGGTCCAGAGCAGGGAATGTGTTGCCCAGTGTCAGAGCATGGTCTGCTCTGGGGTCAGGTGTCTTGCCCTGGTCCTAAGCCACTCCAAGCCAAGGCATGTCCCTGGGCCCATTTCCCCTCTCGAGGTCTCGGGGTCCCTATTTCTGATGTGTGTGAAAGGAAGGCCTGTCCTCTGGGGTGGCCATGAGGCTCCGTGGGAGGAGCTGCCATGCTTGAGCCAGGACTTGGCACCTGGCCAGCCTTTTTCTCTGTCATTGTACCTTGATGGGTTGTCAGTTCTAAAGAGAAGAAATACACTAGGAATCCTGTTCTCCCTCCCCGTTCTCCCTGGCAGAGGAAAGTGACCACACCCCCATGGTGTGGACATACGGACGCTCCTCCACGAAGCAGCAAAGTTCTGTTGTTTCAGGAGGCTGTGGGCCCTGAGGATGTGGTAGTGACCTCACCAGAGGAGCTGGCAATTCCTAAGTGCTGCCCGGAGGCCTCTACAGAGACATAATGTTGGAGAACTTCTGCCTCTTGGCAGTGCTGGGTAAGACCCCTTTGTCCCCACCAGTGCCCTTGAGGGTATGGGTGTTGGTCGGTGTGTGGCGTCCATCTCCGTAATAATGGTATTAAGGACTGCATGTTTGTGTCCCCCCCAAAGTTTATATGTTGAAACCCTGACCCCAGTAGGGTGGTATTAGGAGGTGGGGCCTTTGGGAGGTGACTAGGCTTAGGTGAGGTCATGAGGGTGGGGCTCCCCGATGAGATTGAGTTCTTAAAAGGAAGGAACTAGAGCAAGGTCTCTTTCTGCTGTGTGATCATACAAGAAAATTGCCATCTTTCAAGCTGGGTGCAGTGGTTGACGCCTGTAATCCCAGCACTGGAAGGCCAAGGCATTAGGATTGCTTTGAGTCCAGGAGTTCGAGACCAGCCTAGGCATGATAAGACCTTATCGCTAAAAGGAAGAAATAAAATAAAAAACTGCCATCTGCAAATCAGAAAGAGCCTTCAGCAGACACCAGACTGCCAGTGCCTTTGATATTGGACTTTCAGTCCCCAGATCTGTGAGAAATTAATTTCTGTTGTTTAAACCACCTAGCCTGTGGTATTTTGTTATAGCAATCCAAACTGAGACAGGCAGTAAGGAGAGAACAGAGGTTCCAGCCTGCTTCAGGTCCAGGCAGTTCTGCCATTGCCCTCGACTCCTCAGTTCCAGTCATGGGCCAGGCTCCTGGGGGACTTGGGATGAGTAAAACGTGCACCTGTCATTAAGGTTCACCTGGTCTAGAAGGGGAGGCAGACCCACACTGCCCACCATGACCCGGACAGTGGTGATAAATACAGAGCACCTCATGGCCAGGGCCTGGGGGATTCCCACCCTGCCCTACCCAGTGCCAATAACAGAGGGACTCTGCAGAGTTGTGTACACAAGATAGCAGTTTAGTTCTTGCACACATACTAGTTGAGAAGGGAAATCAGGGCTGATGAAACAGCTCAACTGTCTGGCAGAGCCAGGCTCCTTCTGCCATGATGCAGTTTGGATGTTTGTCCCTTCTAATCGTATATGGAAATTTGATCCCCAGTGTTGAAGGTGGGGCCTGATGGGAGATGTTCCTGTTATCGGGATGGATCCTTCATTAGTAGCCTGGTGCCATCTTTGTGGTAACAAGTGAGTTCTCACTTGATTAGTTTCTGTGAGAACTGTTTGTTAAAGAGAGCCTGGCACCTCCCTCCCTTCTTCCTCTTGCTATGTGATGCTGCTCCCCTTTGCCTTCCATCATGAGTGGAAGCTCCCTGAATTCCCCACCAGAAGCAAATGCTGGCACCATGCTACTTGTACAGCCTGCAGAACTGTGAGCCAAATAAACCTCTTTTCTTTATAAATTACTCAGCCTCAGGTGTTACTTTATAACCTTGCAAACAGACCAAGATATGCCATGTGTATTTCATGAAGGGAACCACAGGGTTGAAGATGTTACAGGACACCTGCTCCAGTCCCTTCCACTGTGTCTGCCTCCAGAAAGCACACCACTTCTGCTCATGTCCCTCGAGCCAGGTCCCAGTCATGTGAGTACAACTAGTTATAAAAGGTTTGGGGAGCATGGTTGTAGAGGATGGGTGAGCGAGTATAGGACTCATCTAGCAGTGCGAGTCGGCCCAGGCCTTGTGCCTTCATGCCTGCTCCAGCAGTTATGTCTGATCTCCCCCATCTCTGTAAGGAGAGAGCAGAGGTTCCAGCCTGCTTCAGGTCCAGGCAGTTCTGTGGGCTTCGTGGATGTGGCAGTGACTTCACCAGAGGAGCTGGCAATTCCTAAGCCCTCCCCAGAGGCTTCCACAGAGACATAATGTTGGAGAACTGCCTCATGGCAGGGCTGGGCACAGGGCAGATTTACGAGGTGAGCTTAGGGTGTGAGGGATGGAGGCAGGCAACAACCCTTGGTGGGCCTCACCTGTAGAGTGGGGGTTCCATACTGAGAGGCAAGCCCGGACAACCTGGGATTGCTGACTCCTCTCCCATCAAATGCTCAGCTGTCGAAGTTAGGGGGAGACACAACATTGTCCCCACCCCAAACAGCAGAGCCACTGGAGAAGCAGGCCATAGAACAGAGCGCTCCACATTCCTCCCCACAGGAACTGCATTTGTAAGAGTGTGAAGTTCCAGCCTAAGGGTGCTCTCAAAAACAGTGGAAGTGATGGAGAAAGGCAACTGTGGTCAATCAGTAGATTTATTGGAGATCTATGCCAAAAATATTGTCTGGCTAGGGGTCATATAAGTATCACAAACACTAACTTCAGGAACTATCCCTTCAAAGGAGCCCAAATTTGATTGGATTGACCTGCAAAGCAATTTATGTCCAGGGCAGCATTCAAAACAGTGGAGCAATCAGCTGACCATTAGTGGAGCTTAATGGCTGGATGTGGTCAGGGAAAACAAAGCACACTTTCAAACCACTGTCATCCAGGGCGACTGAGGGCATAACCAAGATGGTGATCCTGAGGAGAAAAACTGAGATGCAGTCAGAGGCTCTGGGATGTGGGGTGGGAAATAGATGCCACTAAAATAGTCTAGCTGGTCCCTAAGCAAAGAAAGCAGGAAAATAGTCCAAGATCGGGCTGGCTAGTATCCAGAATTGCTACAATGGTTACCTAAGGTGTCCACTCTTCAACAGGTAATTATGAGGCATGCAAAGAAACAGGAAAGTATGGCCCTACACTGGGGGAAAAGGCAGGTAATAGAAACTGCCTATGTAGAGCAAGATGCTGGATTTAAAAGAAAAAAGTTTCAAAGTGGCCATCATAAATGTATTCTAAGAACTAAAGGGGGTAAAACTAAAGGAAGGTGTGAGCCAATATTACCTCAAATAGAGATTAAGAAGGTAGAAATTATATGTTTTGTATTTAAAAAAAAAAAAAAACAGGCTTGACTCAGTGACTCACACCTGTAATCCCAGCACTTTGGGAGGCTGAGGCAGGAAGATCATCTGAGTCCAGGAATTCAAAACCAGCCTGGGACAACATAGTGAGAACTTGTATTTACATTTTTTTTTTTTTTTTTTTAATTAACCAGCATGGTGGCACACACCTATAGTCCTAGCTACTCAGGAGGCTGAGGTGGGAGGATTGCTTGAGCCTGGGAGGTCAAGGCTGCAGTGAGCTGTGATAGTGCCAATGCATTTCAGCCTGGGTGACAGAACAAGACCCTGTCTCAAATAAAAAGAACCAGATGAAAATTCTGGAGTTGAAAAGTGCAATGACTGAAATAAAAAATTCACTAGGCAAGCTGAGCTCAACAGTAGATTTCAACTGGCAGAAGAAAGAATTAGTGAACTTGAGAATAGAGTGATAGAAACTATGTAATCCAAAGAACAGTAGAAAGAGTGAAGAAAAGAGCCTTAGAGAAATGTGTGATACCACACGAATTGCACCAACATACGCTTGGAGAACCAGAAGAGAGGAGGGACAGAAAGGAGCAGAAAAAATGTTTAAAGAAATAATGGCTGAAAAATCCCCAATTTTTTTGAAAAAAGCCTACAAATTCAAGAGGCTCAATGAAATCTAAGTAGGATAACCAGAGATCTACAAATAAACTCATCATAGTAAAAGTACTGGAAGCCAAAGATAAAATCTTGAAAACAGAGAAAAATGATTTGTCACTTACAAAAGAACACCAGTAAGATCAACAGCTGACTTCTCATCAGAAACAGTGGAGGCCAGAGGGCAGAGGGATAATATATTCAGAGTGCTCAAAACAAACAAAAACAAAAACACCATTAACTAAGAATCCTATATCCAGCAAACTATCTTTCGGAAATTTAAGCAGCTGAACATGGTGGCTCACGCCTGTAATCCCAGCACTGGGAGGCTGAGGCAGGTGGATCACCTGAGGTCAGGAGTTCAAGACCAGCATGGGCAACATGGCGAAACCATGTCTACTAGCCTGGCATGGTGGCATGCGCTTATAATCCCAGCTACTTGGGAGGCTGAGGCAGAAGAATTGCTTGAACCTGGGCGGTAGAGGTTGCAGTGAGCCAAGATTGGGGCCCGTGCACTCCAGCCTGGGTAACAGAGTGAGACCCTGTCTCAATAAACAAACAAACAAGCAGTTTAAAGATGAACCCAGATACTACATACAAAAGCCAAGAGAGTTTGTTGCTAGCAGGCCCACCTTATCAGAAAGATGAAGTCTTTCAGGCTGAAAGTAAATGACCCCAGAAGGTAATTTAAATCCACATTAAAAACAACACTTGCAGAGGTACTTGTATAGTTGTATAAAACAGTATAAATGCACATTTCTTCTTAATTGATGTAAAAAGCAATTATATAAAATAATATGGGTATAACATTGTTGGGCCTATCACATATAGAAATATAATGTATTTGTGAATAATCCAAAGGAGATGGGTGGAAGCAAAATAATCTGACTAGGAAGTGAGTCCAGATAGTAACTCAAATTCACAGAACAGATAAACAGAATCAGAAACAATAAAAGGAAAGTTAATGTAGCAAAAGCTAAAAATATGTACTTGGTCTTCTTTTATCTCCCAGCTTCTTTAAAAAGCATAACATTACATAATAATAATAACAACATACTGCTGGGTTTGTAACATTTAGAGATGTGATAGGTGCGTAACGATAATACCGCAGAAGGGAAAAGGGGACGGAACTGCACTGGAGCGGCATTTCTGTCTCTCACTGGAATTAGTGCAGATCCAAAGTAGATTCTGATAAAATGTAAATGGTGATCCCTAGAACAACCACTAGAGAAATAATTCAAAAAATAGAGTGAAAAAATCATTAAAGAAATTAAAATGCTACATTGGAAGATACCCAGTGTAAAAGCAGCAAAGGAGGAAGAGAGGATCCAAGACGACAGGAGGCAGAACACACTTAGTGGGGCCTGTGCTGTCCACATTCTGGTGGCACTTAACTCATCGAATCTTCCTGGCACCTGGCTGAGTCACTAGTGCCATCCCTTTTGTACAGATGAGCAGTTGAGGCTCAGGAGCATCAGGGATAGTCAGGGACACAGAGTTTGGAGTCCGGAGCCATTTTACTCCACAGCACAGGATCTCACTGCATCCCTTCCTCTGCCTGTTCCCTGTGATTCCCCGCTTTTCTTGGCCTCTGGCAGCATTTGCCTTGGCTGTGTCTGCCAGCCTCCTGCTGTGCTGAGCTGGATGTGCCTGTGGTGCCGCTGTGTCCTGGTTTCCCTGGGCAGTCCTGGTGGCACCTATTGTCCTGGAACAATTGCTGATACCCCTTTCACTCTCAAAAGTGTCTGAATCGTGTGGGGCCACTCTGCAGGGCTAACCTTCACACAGTGCCTAACACATGGTGTCTGTGGTGTGTCAGCTCTTCAGGGGCCCCAGGCCAGCAGTCACAGCAAGGTCACCACCAGAGGACATTGAATGGTTCCACCTCTGAAGTCAGTGCTGGCCCCCAGGATTTCTGGGTGGGCAGTAACCTGGAGCAGCCCTTGCTGGGGAGAGAGAACTGGCACTACTAGGACCCATCTCAAGGGGGTGTGCAAAGGCAGAGAGGGATCCAGCCTGGGGGTGGTCACCTGAGGGCAGCCCTCATGGCTCCAGTGGTGGCTCGAGAAGCCTGTGAAGCCGCCCTAGGAGGCTGAGCAGGGGAGGCCTCCTCAAAGCCACCCTGGGGCGGGCAGAGCCTCAGAAAGGACCCTGAGGCTGGCAGGGCAAGGAGCTTCTGCAGTTGACCTTCTCCAGAAGTGCAGCTGCCTGCTGAGAGACGCACCTCCGTTGGGGGGTCTGGGTCCTCTGCTTGCTCGTGGCCTCATCTTCACTGAGGAGGGCCTGGGGCAGCTCAAGGCTCTCGGCTGCAGCAGATCAGCACCCAGGAGGCTGCGCCCGTTGGCCCCTGAGCTGGGGGGTAGCCGGGGGCTTGGGCAGGGTGCCTGGGCAGGACAGCATTAAGCAGGTGGCACCTGCACTGGTTGTGCCTGAATCTGGGGTGGGGAGGACTCCAGATGCCCAGTGAGAGCTGAGCCAGCCAGGGAGGGCCCAGAGAGGTCAGGCGGGCTCTGCCAGCTGAGGAGGGCTGGTGGGGGTCTGTGCTTCTGAGCCCTGGGTACAGCCCTCCTCTTTGAATCGCCTGTTCTGGGGTAGCTTTGGTGGTGGGGCAACAGGATCCCACCAAGACACGGGGACCACATTGGCCTCCAGCCTGGGAGCCTCACAAACATTCCTTGCTCAACAGAATCAGGCTGGACCCTTAGGACGGAGTGGCTAGAGTCTGGCTGGAGAGAGCAGACATCAGGAGGGAGGGAGCCAGGGCCTGTCACATCTTTCCTCTGGCCGCTGTCCTGATCTTTGTAAGCCCAGAGTCTCCCCTTCCCTGAAGGGAGGCCAGCACCGCAGGAGGGC